GAGAGAGAGAGAGAGAGAGAGAGAGAGAGAGAGAGAGAGAGAGAGAGAGAGAGAGAGAGAGATTGTGCCTATCTGTTTTTTTCCCCCCAACAAAAGACGGGGCCTGACGGCTTTGGCTCCGTTCCATTCTGAGGAGGATCAGTCCGGTTCCTTTCTTTTTTTGTTTTTGGACCATTTCCCGATTTATGTGTGCCATCCTTGTGCAGGGGCCATGCTAATCTTTCTCTGTATCGTTCCAATTTTAACGGATGTCCCGAAGGACGGGATCAGTCCGGTTCCTATTCAACCGGCAAGTCAGAGAAGTTTCAACATTGTACTCACCCACGCTCCTCTCCATTATGGCTGAGAGGCCCAAGTAGACAGCATTGATTATATGAATTTATTTCCCTCTGGAAGGATGTACCACCCCTCACCCCTGCCTAAGCTGGCCTTTTGCATTAGTCTAATAGCTATCGTTGGCTTAACCCCTAAACCCCAGTGCCATCTGCGACTGCGACGTCCTCCTTTGGCATCGAGGTGGCTTCTCCCTTCCTCGTCCTTATAAGTTGAGAGTACTCGATCCCCTGCTATGCTAATGGCCTACTCTCCCAGCCGTTCGTCTGCTGACGAACCTCCGACAGTGAGGTCGTGGGCTGACTGCCCCCCCCCCCAACTGTCCAAGCCTCCACTTGCAACTGTATGTTGAATAGTATTAAATCTTCTAGTTTAGTTACCTTAGCAATGCACATCAAGTCAGAGTGGACGCATTTTCTCACTCTCTGTTTTTCCTTTCCCAGTTTCTGAAAATAAGCTATTATTATTATTATTATTTTTAAATTTGGACCATTTCGCGATTTATGCGTGTCATTCTTGCGCAGGGTCCATGCTAATCTTCTCTGTATCGTTCCAATTTTAACGGATGTCCCGAAGGACAAAAATAAAAATAAGTTATTATTAACTTTTAAATTTTAAGGAAAATAATGCAAAATATAAAGAGGCTGAAACTGTGCTTTCTTGTTTTCTTTTTGGTTTTGAAATGCCATGTACTGATTGCCCGCCCCACAGCGCTACTCTGTGTGATCTTATTCCTGTTATTATTCTGAGTGTTTTTTGTTTTGCATCCTATGATTCGTGTGTTGTGAAGTATTTGACTGACCTCTTTTCTGAAATATTCTCGAGAATGGGGAATACTCGAATCGCATCATACAGTAATTCTATTTCAAGCGGGGTGGGGCAGTGTTTTTTGTTTTGCATCCTATGCTTAGCAGGTTTCTATTTCACGGCCCTCTTTATTGAAGCGGGGTGGGGTAGTGCTGGAATCCTGTCATTGTTCTTTAGCCTTTCTGAGGCCCTTTCTCAGCAAAGGAGGTTGCACTGCATGTACTTGGTTGACAGGCAAGGATGGGTTCAAAGGTGGTGGAGTTTTGGGGAGAAGCGAGAACCGGAAAAGGAAATCGGAGAACCCTGCAGTGTCGTCGGCGCTTGTTTTGGGCTGCGTTTTGGGACTCTGTGAAGCGCTTTCACTCTACTTCGCCACAGAGCCAGTCCTAAGCCTAATGGGATTGCCTATGGTAAGTGGAGGGCGCAGACTTTCAGAGGGTTAAATATGTAACAATGCAAAAGCAGTCGTCAACTCATTGCTTTTGTCCCTTTCTCCTCCCTCCTCCCATCTTCCCTAGTTCTTATCACTCTCTCTTTATATGCAAATGAGTGCACATGAATGCACATGAAGCACGTGACAGGGTGGCAGCTGAATGCTCACTGTTATTTGTGGCAAACCATGTACTCGATTTATGTTATTATCTGCATTTTGGGTGGATTGGGTCTGATGTCTGGTGAGTACTATTTAGGACGCATCAGGAACCTGTTTACTGTCTCCGACGCTGCCTCTGACTCCGCCATGGTATACCCTTTTTGAATAAACAGAGGACTCTTATGATTTGATCTGCTCTCGCAGGTCAAGATCTTGGTCGCCCGCCTGTACTACTTCAAAGTTTATGTATGCAGGCACTCAAGATCCAAGTTGAAACAACAAGATCCACAAAACATGAGTACACACAGAAAATTACAACTTGCAATGATATACACAGGTTCTCAAGGTCACGGCTATGGCTGCCAGCAACAACGACAAGCAGGTAAGTTTCTCTCTCTCTCTCTCTCTCTCTCTCTCTCTCTCTCTCTCTCTCTCTCTNTCTCTGAGGAATGATTCAGGAGTGTGGCTACAATCATGTTCTCTGAGGAATGATTCAGGAGTGTGGCTACAATCATGTTCTCTGAGGAATGATTCTTTTGTCCATTCTTCTCTCTCTCTCTCTCTCTCTCTCTCTCTCTCTCTCTCTCTCTCTCTCTCTCTCTCTCTCTCTCTCTCTCTCTCTCTGTTAAGCGCGCGCGTGCACTCGCTGTGTGTGTGTGTGCGTGTGTGTGGCTTGCAAACCAAGTGTGCATGCTGACTTTCAGTGGACTTCGGCGGGAGTGGAGCAGTGCGGTGCGATTATCGCTCATTGTACCATTGATGTTTTGCGTGAATGGAGCCAATGTTATTTCCTTTATGCGGCTTCTGTTGTGTCTGTCCTTTGCGGGAAGTTAGAAGCCTATCTCCTCTCTTGATAGGTGTGCTTGGCTTTTGGTTCTTATTTCCTGTCGCCAGAGATCTTTCTGTTGATATAAATGATAAACAGGAACAATTATATTTTATTTTGTAATGGTCTTGTTGTTGTTGTTTCAGTCCTTCTCATGGCGGATTAGATCCAAGTTGCATCAGCACTATCCACACAATATGAGCACACGCACAGCTTTATTACAACTTGAAATTATTTATATACACCGGTTTCTGTACGTGGCATCTATGGCTGCCAGCAACAACGACAAACAGGTAAGTCTCTCTCTCTCTCTCTCTCTCTCTCTCTCTCTCTCTCTCTCTCTCTCTCTCTCTCTCTCTCTCTCTCTCTCTCTCTCTCTCTGTATGTGAGTACATATAGCTGTGTCCAGGTCCTGTGACACTCTCTGAATGTCCTCACCTCTCTCCCTCACTCTCTCCTATGCTGTGCTGCGGCTATGACGGCCAGCACCGTTGACTACTGTCTCGCCAGCTCTGTTCACACTTCAAAATCTTGGCACCCAGTAATGCATCAGCACTTCCGCATCTGCCAGATTCGAAGATGAGGCAGATCCTGGCGTTGCCCTACCTTCTGTGCATCTGCCTGCCTCTCTCAAGTGATTCCTGACCCTCTCCTGCCAGACACTGCCGTCCCACTGAGCTGCAACTGGACTGGGACTGGACATGTGGCGACTCCCTACCTGCTGACTATAGGGAACTTTACTCTTCGTACCGGTGTTATCTTATCAGATCTCTACATTGGCGTGTACTCTACCTACCAGAAGGTTCTACTATGGCCCTATGGTACAAAGAAAATGGGACACGGTACCGGGGCCGTACTGCGGCAGTACGTGAATCCTTTCACTCCCGCTGACCTAAATTCGAGGTCCTCGTAGAAGTACTACTTCAGTTAGCCGAAGCTGCCTTGTGAAATCAGCATTGCCTCGAAGGCGATAGTAATTTGGAAGCAGCGGTTTGTGATGAGCTGCCCTCCAGCTACGAGCCGAGATACTTGCCAAGACTTTGCTTAAGAAATGGTTCATCGAGTTGAAACGAAGATAAATTAGATGATAGCACCAAGATACCTGTCAAACTGACAAATCCCCCTTTGTGCTTGTTCATAATGCGAGATGCTGGCAGTTGCTCTCTGGGGAATCACGTAACCTTCTCCGGGTCTTGGTATTGGCATCTGACTCTAAGCTGTTGACTTGGCCTCCCCTTTCTATGGATTCTAAGTTCAGCCTGATCTACAATGCGGCCAATTAGATGTGCGTGAAACGCCTTGAAGGGAAGGATTGTCCCAAATTAGCAGGCATCAGCTTTGAGGCCTGGGAAGACCGGATGAGTGAGCGGAGGAACCTCAATTTGTGTAAGATGTACCGTTAGCCTCTCCCTTGACATGTAGAATTTCCCATGGTCCTCTGTATGCAAGTAGCAATTTTCTGAGAAATCCCTTCTTCGGGCACACATTCCTTGGACTTCACCCAGACTAAGTCACCTACTGTGAACTTTCAAGGTCAGCGCTGTTTTTTTAGTGTCCATTCTTAAAGTATATGTAACATAAATAAATGAATAAATAAATAAATATATATATTATATATATATTTTACCGGGCAGCTCTGTTTGACTATATATTTATATATGAACATATGCCACCTTGAATATGTGTCCACTTTGTCAAGCATGGCCTTCAGAGTGGTTAGCTCATCCGCATGAGCGGGTTGGAGCGTTGAAAGAGCTGCCAACCGATCATTGACCTGAGCGCTCGTTTCACCGGCAGACTCTGCTATCATCTGCTTCCATTGTTCCGCTCCCTCCTCTTTTCTTTACTCTGCTCTCCAATTCAATCCTTCTCCTCTCCGGCCAGCCATCTCATTCGTCATAGTGACTGCCATCTCGAGCTTCCCCTTTTGGACCCTCTTCTTCCTCTTCAACGCTCATAACCGGTCATGGGTGCAGGCTTCTTACTAGCCTGCTGTGTTGCGACCAACTTCCTGCGGCTTCCCCTCTGCTTGCTCCTTCCTTGCACGGCAATACAAGGTGCAGCAACGTATGGGTAGTTGCAAGTTGGGTGGCTGAACCCGGTGTGTGCGGCCTCCTGCCAGATCTCCTCCCTCCGTGATATCCCCGAAAGCCCTACAACCTTTTTAGAGGTAGGTACCAGCACGGTACCTATGCTGACCTGGCAGCCAGACAAACCTGATCACCTCGCTGACATTCTCATTGTCGCCAGCACTGATACCAGTGTAGGAAATGGCAAAACTTCGAAGAATTTCAGCAATCATTGCTCGTGAAAACTTGATTGGAAGCATACCCAAGTAGTACAAAAATTCACTCCAAACTTGTATTGGAGAATCACATCATTACACTTGACAAAACAATAAAATTTATGTCCACTTTTGGGTGGCTGTCTGCGCTGAACAGCCTGCAATAATGAATACTGACAACAGCACAGTATAGAGCCAGAGCGACTGGCTAAGCCTGCGCCCAGACTCTCTCCTTCAGGCACTGAAAATAGAGCTGCTTCTTCTTCCCGTCATGCAATTATCTGGCAAATAAAAGAGCTACACACAGCGTTTTTCTGGGTAATCAGTAAATTCTAAATAGAGCTGCACTAGGGTTTAGGGTTTAAGAGAACGGTCCCGTAGCCAAGGAGTGGTGACAAGAATAGGGGTAGCAGGGGGTTATTTAACTAGAAATCACTGATCAGAGAGGGAGGTGGGATAAAAGAAGGAGAAGGCTTAGCGTAAGGGCAGCTAGGTAAAGTAGAAGGCAGCTAGGAAGGAATAGTCTAGGAGGATAGGTAGGGTGGCGGGTTTCGGCATCGAGCGTCGGCTCGGAAGCTAAGCTGGGTAAGGGGGAAAAACAAAAAGAGTAGAGGTCTTGGAGTAGGGAGAGGGTTGTGTTGAAGGCATCTAATGTCGATAATCGCACAGTAACTGGAATAGAGGGAATAGGAAGTAAGTTCAAGTTACTTCTCTAGTGTGTTGAGGGAATCTAGTGTCCATAATCGCACAGTAAATGGAATAGAGAGGATGAGAAGTAAGTTCAAGTAACTGTTCTGGTCATGGAAGGGCCCGTGTCTTTGTTAAGGGGGTTAGCTGCAAACATTATTGTTTTCATCCGATTCCATCACGATTCGAACTCACAAGCTGTTCATCAAAAAAAATCCGTGTCTAATAGTCTATAGCATGCAGCCGCATGGGCTGGGCCGCAGAGGGGCTCGTGTGTAGGACTGCCAAAGGAATCTGCAGTCTGCCTTCAGCTCGTAACAGTTCATTGGGCAGGCAAGGTGGCTGGTAGAATTGTTCATGGGATTCCACTAGGCCAAATGATTGCCCTTTCTCATACGTGAAAACTTGAAAGACTTCGAATGGACTTGATGGGAACAGTAAGTGCAAAAAAACTCTGATCTTTCAGTTTGGTCTCTTGTTCAGGCACAAACAGACTAATTTTTTCGACTCGTATTTTGCATTCTCCAAAATCTTTTGCTTTTTTTTTTTTTTTTTTTTGGTTGAAAACAAGCTTTGTTCTACTGAAACACCCGTGGGAAAATAGGTCCAGGTTTCCGGAGATTTAAATACAATGATACCCACTCCAACACCTATCATTCACAATAAAAATATTAAGCCACCGCTGGCCCACCAGTACCTTCTGAAAACTGGGCCAACCCCGACTAGCAGAAAGGTAACTTGCTGCTGTCAGATCGTCAATCAGACGGACTACGTGAAAAAGAGAGGGTCGGCAACTGGCAGAAAAAGTAACTTACTGCTGTCAGATCGTCAATCAGACGGACTAATGGTGTACTCACACTGGGCACCCAAAATCGTAGAATTGCAAAATCAGTCGGCCGATCGAGCCGATCGGAAAGCAGGACTCGATCTGCGATTCTGAGGGCCTAGTGTCAGTATACCCTAAGTGGGAAAGAGAGGGTTCCCTGGTAGCCAGGGCAGTTGTAAAAGGCATTGGTAATCTGGTAGTCTGGATACAATGGCCAAGCACAGGAAAAGGAGATTGGGTTTATCGAGTGGACATGGTCCAGGATTGGAGGTTAGGGACGGGAAAGAGTGGAGAGAAACAGTGAAGGTGGTTGTGACAGGAATCAATTTGTCCCGTTGAGAAGAAATCTGGCTATGCCAAACTGAGGGATTTTTTAGGGGTGTGAAACTGCTTCAACGCCCCAGTAGGAGTCTATGCGCAACATAGGCCAGAGATAGTGAACATGACTCGTCCCATGATCTGGGCCGTGCGATTCCTCTGAATGTTCGCTGAGCTGGAAGATATCTCTGCTGTCCACAGTCCCGTATTGTATGGCAATTAAATTGAATTAACATCTACCTAGTTGTCCCAAGAAAAAAGGAGCAGGCCCCTGTGGCAATTTTAAACCCCTACTCAGAGCCTTCATGGCCCAAAGAACTATTGAGGGGGGGGGTTACAAAAAAAACAGGATATTACAGCCAAGGGGAAGATGTGGGATGAGCCTCCTTCCCCCCATTATTTTGATTGTATCTGAGAATGGGCATTAACATTGCTCATCATATGGTTATGATTCTTGTTACGCAGGATTCTGTAATGCGCCCTTTTGCACGGGAATACTTGTCTATACGGGCAATGGGAGCGCCAGCTGTCGTGGTCTCATTGGCTACGCAGGGTGCATTTCGAGGCTTTGGAGATACCAAGTCACCACTCTATGGAACAAGTACATCACTCCAATCTTTTCACCTGTCTTTCACCATTCATTGACTAGTCAGGATGTTGCAGCTGTATTGGCAAATTGAATTCATGATTACACCAATCTGTAGCAGTGTGCCAGCCACAGAGGTGGCTTCCCCGCCCCCACCCACTCCCCGCACACCCCTCATCTCCTCCCCTTGCTTCTGAGTTGTCTTCCTCGCACAACCTGAAGGGGTATAAAGGGGGTTAAATGGGGCCTTTTCTGGTAAATGCATGTAGCCGAGCAGTCTCAGTGGCCTACATGCTTCATGCATTTCAAGTGTGTTCCCAACTGCTGCAATGCATATCTGCATGTGTTGAACCTTCTGCCCGTATGTAAGTCAAACACATAGATTTTAATTATTTTGCCAGCAAGCTGATCATATGCCGGCCCTAGTTGCCACACTATCTGCTACCACTCTGAAGCATCTCTGCGCGTTGTCTTACCCCTTTCTTTACAAGCATACACAAGTCATTTTGTGCGAACTAGACCACATCCCAGTTGTTTGTAGGAAAAGAATGAATACCACTTCTCTGTGTGTCCACTTTAGTGAGAAGAAGAAGGAAGAAGAAGAAGTGGCCTGCGCTGCATAATATATGCTTGGGTAGGGTGAGGATTATGCCGTGGCTGATTTTCCACGTGGCGCTACCAGTTAACGCATGGCTTTATGAACGCCGCAGTCAACACCATAGAGACCCCTTTCAGCAGTTTTGCCTTCTCTGTACGGGGGGGCATCAGGAATCAATGCTTCACTGCCTTGTAGATCGCCCCGAGCCGGCGTATCTATGCGCAGAAGCCAAGGCATTGTGGAGAAGGATATTGGACGCCCCTTTCCCGGAGGATAGAAGGGTACTGCTTACAGGACTGGAACTCTCTACGCCATGGCAGCAACACCAGAAACGAGGCTTTCAAGTGTTAAGGCAGTACACATTGTGGACCATTTGGAAGCACTGATGTCAACAGGTAATTGGCAAGAGACAATGCACAGGCTGGAAGCAAGGGATACCTTCCACGACCTCCTAGGAACAGATATCCTAGCACAGTGGCGATGAGTAAGAAGACAAGCGCACCAAGAGCCAAAGCAAGCCCAGGATCTAATAAAGAAGTTTCAGCAGATGGCGTTGGCACAAGGAAAAACAGCAAAAAAGAAAAAAAGGTTGTCATTCCATTGATTCACGGAGGGGCATCAACAGGCCCCGACATGGAGGACAAACCTCAGGGGAAGAATATCAGATACTGTGGGGTTTAGGATGTAAGTAGGGTTTAGAGTTTAAGCGATGAAGGAAACAAATAGGATTCCAAAGATATGGGGTAAGCGCCATTTCTTTTGCAGAATTCTAAGTGTAATGGGTACATAAATCTTTAGCTATTTCTGATGTTGGCGTCTACCTTAGCAGCTCCCACACAGGCCCCTTCTCCTGGTATTAATTATTGCTCTATCCATTGGAAAACAGAGGTCTTAGGTAGTGTAAGCCAAGGCTTAATCAAAGAAGGCGCCTGGGTATCGAGATCCATTAGTATATTTATGGCCTCTTTTCCTTTCATGCCCATAACCCAATTATATATTCCTGAGAGTTCTTCACCTATGGATCCGACCCAATTGTCATGCCCTCTTTCCTCTATCAAAATTGTCTCATGTCTGCTTTGAACTATGTTTGTAGCTGGAATGTTTATTTGATGCCGTGAGAAACTAGTCGAACAATCCTTTGTACACAAAATGGGTAATTAGTAATTACTAAATATAGCCACCATGCCTTCAACCGTTCAACGACAATATCACTAGATTCCTGGATGTGCTTCTTCCTTCCTTTTATTCGTCGGTTTGAAGGTATAGGCTAGCGATAGAACTTAACAAGGGGCACTAGCTCTACCCCCTTTTTCCAGTTTTCCTTTTGTGGAATGATGCAGAAGTGGGACACTGGAACCGATTTCCAGTCAAGCCTAAGCTGAGTAATGGCCTCAGTACACCTGGTTGAGATGTGGAGGGATTCCCGGGCTCCTTTGTGTATTGCAATATATAGGCATAATTATTAATTAAATGATAATTTCCTTTTTAAAAAAATAAAAAATTGACCCCCAAGGGCCCCAACCCCAATTTCACTCTTGGACCCGTTAACCCACGAGCTGACAGGTGGGGGTCCTCCATTAACCACTTGTGGTCTTTCCAGGTAGGTGTATTTGTGCAGAGGAGACAGCTTTCTTACCTTTCATTCACCTGTTTATATGTGCAATCCCCATTCTGCGGGGTTGAACTCAGGATCCTTAATATCCACTTCCAGTCTGTCCCACCCTTTTTAATCTTGTGCCTCCAATATGCTCTGTAACCACCCTCCTTTTTGTGTCTTCAGACCCCTGGGATATCGACAAAACTCTTTAGTGTCCAAACTTCCTCCGAATATCCTCAAGACTTTCCTCTGCTATTTACCCTGTCAAGATCTTTGATCTCAAACACCTCAAGCGCTCGTTGTCATTGCTCAGCAATTGTAGTTTGGACTTTTCATGTCTGAGGAAGTTACGGGTTTGATTCTACTTGGTGTGTTCTTAGTCCTGGCTACTTTGTGGTTAACTTGCAATGGATTTTGCGTGTGGTTGCAGTTTTTGGAAACGTTCTGAATTGCATATTGTGCCCAATTTTAATCTTTGGAGCGGGCTTGGGTGTTCGCGGCGCAGCAATGGCGACAAATATATCAGAGTTTGTCTTCTGCTCCTTGACCAGTTTGTCTTAGTATTTTTCAGTACTCAGTAAAGTTAGAGTAAACCTCATTTTTATTGACAATGTGAAACTTACGCTAGTAATGAGGAGACAGAGCAGGTGAGTGGTAAAGGCTCACATTACTGGGCATGTTGCTCAGCTGACCAAGTTCTGTGACCTCTGTGCTATCCCTTGAGCAAGGAGATGACTTAAGATGCTTTCACTTGTCTTTGAACAGCTTTGTGTCAAGATGATCCATGGTGTTGCTTTCCTAAATGGGATGTGCGGAAGTTTGGCTTCTGCAAATTGAGGGGGTCTGATACGAAGGGGGATGTTAGGTGGGTGGGTGGAATGGGAAGGGGGAGGAAAATGGAGAATACCAGAGTTTGAACTTTGATGTCTTTAAGCCTTTAACCGAGCACTAGATAACTTCCATACATCGGAGCAGACAGTGCAGGATGCATTTGGAGTATGAAACGAATTTTGAGGGATAGATGTTCGGAAAGCAATATTTTCGTCTGTCACGATTTTGCCCATGGCATAGAGGGGGAAAGGCATGGCGAAGAGCAAGAAAGGGGAAGGGGTGTCCTTGTGGCAGGGCATTGATGGAGCATGGGGAGGGGGAGAGGAGGACAGAGTTGAACTACACACCACCTCCTCTTCTCTCTCCCTCCACACACTCACACACACACAAGTTATGTGTGTGAATGGATAGAAGAAACAACACAGAAAAAGTTCCTCTTTCTCTGTCTCTGTCTCCACACAGACACACACACACACACGCACACCACTCAACCACACAAACGTTGAAGGCCTGCATCTTGGCAATTCAGTGACGGCTGCTGCTGAAAGTGCGCCGCCACCATCGCTGCCTCTGCCTCCACCACACCCACCACCCC